CGGCTGCCACGACTTCACTGGAGCCCCGGAAACTGCGGTTGTGTGACACGGGAGTCCCATCCAGTCCGCTGAGGGTTCAAGTCAATGAATAAAAAGCCCCTCCATGCAATTAAGGCATTTTAGTTTGTCAGTGCAGTCTCTCTGGCCAGTACACGTGTTAGTGCAACAGTTGCGCCCATTATGTCTATGGGACTCTAACAGCTGCAGCATGGGAGCTGGGACACGTGGCTCGTGTGTTTAAAAAGCATGGCACCTTCTAGCTAATGTCTTGCCTTCTAGATACAAAGAAGTTGGTGGGACCACTTCCACTGGATGTACATCGGAGAGCCCCTGTGGAGATCAGAGGTGCTCCGAGGGAGGTGCGACTTCCCTGGGTGTTAAAGCCGATGATGCTGGAGCAGGTCTTGGTGCCCGGCACAGTTCTTCCAGGGCAGAAGTTCCTGGAAAAATCACCTGCTCACACTGAAAAGTCAGCTATTCTTCAGGCAGTCGTTAACCGAGGCAGCAGCATTTTTCTCATGGAAACCATTGCTCTGAGGACGTGAAATGCCCCCACCGGGCTAGTAGATGTTGACTCTGGACTCTAATAATGGCAGCTAGCCGCCAGCTGAAAAAATGCACGCCGTGTAAAGTGAGCTAGAATACGTTTCTACCGGAGTAAGTGGTGGGTGACTCGACTGGCTCGGTTATTCAGTTTTCTGTGCAACTCGGTTAAAAGCCCTCCGTGTTTTAAACAAGTTTGAAACTGCTGCAGCATTTTGAATCTCCACCAGATGCCCCAGGCCCCGATCGGCATGGGCAAGAAAAAGGCAAGACGGCACGAACCACCAACGTGGAGCTGGACCCAGGACACGAGTGGCAGGATGGGAAAGGAGAGGTACTTAGCTGTGTTCGTGCCAGGTCGGGCAGGACGTAGGCTAGATTTGCACCTCATAGACTAACTAAATGAGATAAACATGGACTAGAGCATAAGTTTGCACGAACGCGGTTCTAGTCTTGGATGTCGCAAGGACCCGATGTGAAGGGCTCATGGAGGCGTCACAAGACCGAGCTGTAATGAAATCTGGGCTCGTCAGGGTCATGTACAGTCACATGGGTGGTTTTCCTCAGATGAATATTTCTCCCATTCAAGAGCTGAAACCCTACGAAAAACCAGTGGTGATGCATGGGAGACGAGGCTTGATTTGTAATTAGTATCAGGGGACATTTTCCCAGAGAGTTTGGGACTCAGCCAGGACCCTGGTGCTTTCTGTCTACTCTTCACTGACCTGTCACCGAAGTCCTGGTCGGGCGTCACAGAAGATGCCGCCCGCTCCATTGCAAAAATCAGCTTAAATGTCTCCGTCGCCCATTAAAAAAGTCTGGACTCAATCTCATCTTTAAGCGCAAATTCGCCCCGGTGCTGGGCTGTAAAAGCCGTGCCCCTGCAAACCGCCAAAACACCCGGCCTAGTGTAGGGTCCTGGGGCCACGTCTCCGCACCCACATGAGCTCCATGGGACCCCGGTGGCAAGCGGCAGCCAGAAGCCACGCTCGCACGTCCCTCATCCCGAAGTAGCCAGGCTGGCTTTGGCCCCCGAGGGACCTGGTTTGCTGGAAGTCAACGTGCTGCGCCTCCGCGGGGCAGGACGGGCCGGCTGGCGTTGCTGGGGTAGCTTTCCAGGTGCTCTTTGGTAATTCATTAGCAAAGTGCCTCTCCCCTCCCTTCCTACAGCAGCTCTGAAGCAGCAGATTGGCCCCGGTAATTGCTAGCAATGGCTTGTCCTGTGCAGACTGGGGGGGGCACAGCCACAGACAGGCCTGATGGGCCGAGCCGCGATTTTGCCAGGCGCACCGCTCCCCTCCCAGCGCCGGCGGAGCTGGCTGGGGCTGGGGCTGGAGCTGTTCCCGCGGCTGTCGGAGCACGTCTCATTTGGGCTTCTCCGTTTCAGCAGACGAGCCAACGGGGTCTGTTGCATCCGACTCCAGCTGCCTGCAAAGTTACCGTCTGGCCGCAAGCACGGCGTCTGGGGCCCTCCCATTTGGCCCGGTGCACGGCAGCTGCATCCAGGAGGAGCGGGCGCTTCTCCACGCTGCACAGGCCACGGCCAGGCGTCTCGTTTCCTCCTCCGGAGATCAGCCCAGGGCGGTGGAGCTGTCCTGACTTAGGCTGGCACAAGAGGCAGCTCTGGCTGTCTCCCCGCCCGGCACTGCCCAGACTTCCTGGAGCAAGAGCCGTCTCCCCGAGCCCGATTTTTCCAGGGGAGACCTGGCGTGGCTCTTCCAGACCCGGCGCTGCCCGAACCTCTGCACGTAGGATGAGCAGGATGCTGTAAAATGAAATGAATAGCCCCAGGTAATCTTTCCCGTGCACAAGCACATATTCATCTCTACCTTTTGGCCTCTTCCCCAGATTGTGCAGTGCCAGGATGCGCTCCACCTTACTGGTATTCACTGTACGCAGGAGAGGACTTTTATTAATAACCCGTGGCTGATGCATGGAGAGTTTCAAGCGAGGGACCTAAAAGACTTTGCTGACCTTAAGGGATTAAGCTCGGCAATGCTCCAGCAGGCAGGAATCACGGTCCTTATTTCACAGCTGGGGAAACTGAGGAACACGCTGCTATTCAAGGCTGAGATGCTCGGATGCCGGCTGAGAGCGGTACCCTCGGACGGGAGGGACGAGGCGGCGTTGCGGAGTCGCGCAGACGTCGGAGCCAGGATAGGTTTTACCTTCCTTGTCAAAACCCAGGAACGCTGTAGAAAGGTTCGCGGCACCATTGCCCAGAAACAAGGCAGCAATTTCCAGGGCTTCCTTCCTCCCGCAGCCCCCGTGCGACTCTTTTTCCAGTGATGGGAGAAACGATGTCCTGATGAGCCAGCTCTGCGTTTGCTGAGCGCTTGGGGGGGTTTCCAGGTTCGTTTGTTTTTTCCCCTGGCCTTCTTTTCCCCTTTTCTCCTCACTTGTTTCCCTAGTGAATGCTAGCTTGCCGCCTCCTCATTTTATGGCCTGGCAGGGTTTCCAGCAAACATAAGGGATGCTCATTTTCCTGCAATGGAGAAAAGCAGCGCGCGCGGATGAGCGTGTGCAAGCATTTTGGATGGTGAAGGTCTGAACTTCCCCCTCCCCATAGGGTTAGGTTGGTTCAAGCAGGCTGATGGTAGCCAAGGGCGTGCATGGGGCGATGGGCTGGCATCGCACCCAGCTGTCTTGCACTCCCCTGGCTGGAGGAGCAGCGTTTGGGTGAGCTGGTGGGTAGCTGGGCTCTTCGGCACAGGGCTGGAGTGGGGCTTGAACTCACCTGCAGGGAGATACGCTTGCACCAAACACCTCTGCAGCGCGGAGGTTTGCTGACATCCGGGGTCCATGGGGTGGGAAAGTTGTTTCGGGCACAGCTCAGCAGAGGGGACTCGCGGGTTCCCTCGCAGCCGACTCAGCAGCGTGGAGCCTTGCCTTGAATTGGGGGCAGTTTTATTTACTTTTATTTGTATTTTAGTCATGACCACAAAGGAGAGCCGGGGAGGGGGAAGCGGGAATGCAAAGGAAGAGCAGGAGACGCAGAAATGCTCTGCGGAGAGAAACGTTCATGCAAACCCCTGTGCGCCCAAACCACCTGGCATCACGTGGCTCTGACTTTAGCAGGCGCCACTGAGCCCCGTCTTTCCAAACCCGGCAGAGGGCTACCCCTGCCTCTCCTGGCAGGGGGGGTCCTTGTCCCATTGACTTGCTGTTGCATAGCACTCTCATTCAGGAGTGCTTCGCCGTTGTTAGTGGCCGTTGCCCCACAACAGCCCTTACGGCAGGGAAGTCGCGTTGCTCCGTTTCCCACCGACCATTTGGAGGCAGCTTCTCCGTATCCCAGGCTTTCCCATCTCTGAACGGGGTGGCAGGAGGGTTGCATTGTGCAGATGGCTGGGTAAAGGCAAAAGTCTTTGCACCGTCTCCTCCTCACCTCTGCTAGCAGCTTCCTTCTCGAGCAGGTTTGCATCCGCCGCCTGGAGATGTGAGCAGCTGAGCAGAGAACGGCCTTGTAATGGGAGACGCTCTTATAGCAGCTTTGAGACTTGTGCTGTTATTGCATCCTCCTTCCTCCCTTTTGTGTGTGTGTTTTTTCCTCTCCGGAGAGTTGTCCGACGTCCTTGTTCGTGAGCCCTCTGGACGCAGCGTGGGCCCTGATCCCGGATGGAGGTCCTTCGTGACTGCCGCGGTACACGTAGTCGTAACGCAGTGATGGGTGTGCGATAGAAATAGCATTTGCACAGGGGATGTTAAGTGTTTTCTAACCCTAAGTTGCTGTTTCTTTCCTGGGATCCCTGTCGTATGGCTCGTGGGTCTTGAGGCGGCGTCCTCATTTTTGGTGCAAAAAGGCCTGGGTTCGCATCCTGCCTAAACCCCGAGGTCTGTGATGGCCGTAGCCCAGGGGTTCTCACGGTTGCTGAGCCTGTCGAAGGCTCGGTGGTTTCAAACTGCGCAGAAACATCCTATTCTTGTTCTTTTTGGCTGGCTCGAGGCAAGTTGGCCTAGTGGTTAAGGCGATGGCTGGTTCATCGGTTGTGCCCCGTGTCAGTGGGGTTTGACTCCCATCCTCACCCGTGAGCTCTGGCCTCAGTCAAAGCAGAGCACCCCAAAGGAGGAGGCAGGTGGGCTTGGAGCGGTTTCAAAAGGACGGCAATTGTGGTGGTGACGGCAGCTGTTACGTGAGAATAATGCAAGGGCAGCAAAACCCTCCTGCTTTACCCTGCGTCATCCCGGGTTGACGTGGGAGCCGTCTCACTGCATTTGTGCGATTGCTGCTGGGACCAGATGCGCGCGTGTCCCTGCCCTCTGTTATTTGCTCTGCGGACGACTTTCCGGTGAGTTGGGAATACTTCCCCCCTCCAGTCTCTCTGTGCCTCAGTTTCCCCACCTGCCCGATACCCCTTACCCACACCGATAAGACCAGTTGATATCTCGTGGAAAGTTGTGTCCGAGAGAAAGCTAACAGGATTGGAGACCATCACCCTTTCCCCCCTGCTTTTCAGGAGACACAAGCTTTACCGACAGGAGCTCAACCTCACGTCTCCTGCCGCCCTGCTGCAGCTGAAGATGGAGGCCAGCTGGCTCCAGTTCCACCTGGGCATCAATCGCTACGGGCTGTATTCACGGTCCAGCCCTGCCGTGACCCAGCTGCTCCGCGACATGCAGGATTTCAGCATGATCAGTGCCGGTAAGACTTTCTGCGCACTCACGCGAACCGAGGAGGAGGGCTGGCTGCTCGCTCGGCTCGCCGTATAGCCGATCGAAGTTTATTTTAACTAGAAAAAAACCTCCTTTAAAAATGCCAAAACCCCTCTCGGTTCTTCCATGAAAATCCCCAGGCCCTTTTGGATATTTAAACAGATCCAGTGCAGGGCTGCCAAGGGGGGATACACTGCAGCAAAGTTGGTGTTATTTCTAAGAAATAGGGAAAAACCTTGAAAGAGGCCGTCTGCCTTTAAAGCTCCAAAACGTACAGATTTGTGCCGGAGCGAGGCTGTCGTGTCGTCGGTGCTTTTGAAAATGGGACGGGCGATTCCCGCACGTTTGTGGGTGCTTCTGCCACTGTAAACCACAGGCAGGCTTTGCTAGAGCCGCATTTTTCAAAGCCGGGTCTGCAAACCCCTGGGGGGCAGGGACTGGCCTGGTGGAGGGTCCCCAAGGGGAAGGACGAGGAAAGGGGACACGTCAGTGAAGGCAAAGGCAGAGAAAGGAGCACGGAGGTGGCTGCAGGGGTAACCGCATGGGTGAACTACTGCTTTCTTTACGATCCCATTGGAGCCGGGGGCAAAGCAAGCAGACATGAGGCGTTTCTGCCCCTGGGTCCAGCTCCCACCGAGCCGCGTCTCGGTCGCGTCGGGCAGGGCGGGCTGCGACTGAGTCCGGATGGCTTTTCCTTCCTTTGCAGATTACAGTCAGGATGAGAAAGCTTTGCTGGGAGCCTGCGACTGCACCCAGAGTAAGTGTCCTGGGGGCTTTTGGCTCCTTGCGCTCGATCGTTCAGCAAACCTGGCCCCAGGGGGAGGGCGGAGATCTCTCCACATTTAGTTTCCCTTTCTTTTGAACCTGCTTTATAAAAACCTCTGGCTTTGACTTTTCCTTGCCTGCCCCAGCAGCACTTGCAAAACCCTGCTGCAACCCCCCTGCTTGGGGCAAACCCCTGCAGGGTATTTAAAAAAAAAGGCAGGGATGAAGGTTGCAAATCCAGACTGCAACTCGAGGGAGCCGAATTAACTTCCCATTGATTTCACTTCCCATTGATTTCAGCAGACGTCGTGTGCTCGGAGCATGGTCCTTCGAGGTGGGAGCTGGGGCAGCTCTGCTGGGCAGGGGCTCATGCTGCTCTGTGCACAGGCTGCGTCTGCCCCGGGGAAAAGCAGGGAGCCCTCTTCCAGCCCCGTCTCTGCAAATCCTGGGCAGATGAGGGCTGCAGGGTTTGAACAGGCCGCAGGAAATTCCCCGTACGTTGCAACGGGTGCAGAAGCTGCACAACTGTCGTCCTGCCTCCACGCACCGCTCCAGCCCCGCTAGTTGCATGCCTTCTCAGGGCAGCGCGATCTTTGCACTGTGGCTCCACCGAGCATCTATTGCACGGAGCACGCTCTGTGCCCCTGCCCACGACTGCATGGGCTCTGCGGGGTGTCGAAATGTATAGGATTGCCACGAAGGCAGAGTCCTGGCAGCACCCCTGCGTGCACAGCGCGAGCGAGAACCTCTGCTTCCCATTACTGGCCTAGAAAGGCGAGTTAGAGAAATCCAAGAGAGAAAAGTGCTTGGAAACTAGAAATACTGCAGGGGAATAATCTTCCTGGCGTAGAGGAGATGCAAAGTGAGAAAAATATTTGTGTGTTAAGAAATGTAGCACGGGGGGAGACACAGCAGCAAACGCACACTAAAGGCAGCTGCAGCGGGATAGTTTATTGCACAGAGAGGCTCGACGGACTCCCGTAGGCTCGAGAGATGGGTTTCTTGTGGACAGCGAATGCAAAATGATACAGAAGGCATATTGCGTAAGCTCAGGGTTGATTGTTTCTGAATGTTTTATTTCCTTCCCTCTCCACCAAGTCGTGAAGCCCAGCGGTGTGCACCTGAAGCTGGTTCTCCGGTTCCAAGACTTCGGCAAGGCCATGTTCAAACCCATGAGGTAAGGCGAGTGGCCGCGGTCCTTTGGCTGGCAAACTCCCTGGGATCACTGTTTGCGAAACAGCATCACCCAGCCATGAAGCAAGGTGACCTGCACGGTAATAAAAGAGAGAGGCCTAGGGCTTCTTTGGTCCAGCTGTCTGGTGTGGAGGCTTTCCATAAATGAGAGCTGCCAGCCAGCAGTATTAAGACATTCATGGAAGACAGTCGTGCTGGAGTACGAGGGATTGCCGAAGAAGAGACAAACCCACGGCGTTTCTTTGTGCGTCATTTGAATTCAGCACTTTGGAGTGAAGGAGATGTTAAATGCAAAGGACACGAGCTGGTCTTTCTCTCCATTGTGTATATTAGAGAGAGAAAGTTGCTGAAGAATATCATTTTCTGCTGTTTCCCAACAGGATTTCTCTTTCACTTGAATTTGCTTTTCATTGACATCCCAAGCACATTTCTAAGAAATAGCTTGTCATTTTGCTACCTTTGGATAGCGGTCTGAAATTGCTTCTGCCTTGATTTACAAACCTTTTGGCCCTCTACATATATTTCCATCCAGATTGTTTTCTGCACGTTGCCTTGGTCTGCAAGAGGCTTGTGCTATGACAAGTGCAGCTCTTTGCTCGTCTTAAAAGGAGGGGATTCCTCTCCTCTTTCCCCCTGGCACTGGGCTGCATTAATCCCAAGGGGTAAAATAAATAGGGTCCCAATGTGCTCAGCGATGGAGGGCAGTAAGGTTTGTCTCCAGGAGCTGTGGGGAGTTGGCTGGCACACTGAATTTTTCACTGGCTTTCCCATTCAGAGGACTGACTAGCCCAGGGCTGTACTTCCACGTGTACAGTGCTACTTCACATACCGACCAAACGGAGCTGGTAAGGATTCAGAGTTACTGGAAAAGGAGCAGTTTCTGCTGGACTACTGGCAATAGTCCTTTAGTTTAAGCTTGGCCGAGACCAGGGGTCATCGGACGATGGAGACCTGACTCCTCTGTGTCCCTCGGGGAAGCGGTGTGGAGCGATGAACCCCCTGTGGGCATTAGTAAGGTCTCCAGGATGGTCCGTTCAGCTCATAAACATTTAGGGGAGCCTGCCTGCTGTCTCTTCTAGGACGTGCATGCAAACTGCTCCTTCTAGCTGTTGTTTTAATAGTCTGTGGCCCTTTACTCCTGCCTTTCAAGCAGCAGCCCTAGTTGGCGTGCTGCTAAGTGCACCGTTGTCATTCGCGGCGGGGTTGCAGGGCCCTGGGAGGTCTCCAAGACCTTTGGGAAGAGCCCCGACTGCCTCCAAGTGAGCTCCCCCACTCCCCACGTGCATCCCAATGAGCTCCCCCGTGTGCATCCCGTCTCACTAGTGACCCTCTCGCTTGCTTTCAGGCAGAAACGCGAGGAAGAGACTCCAGAAGACTTGTTCTACTTCGTTGACTTCCAGAGGCACAACGCGGAGATAGCTGCCTTCCACCTCGACAGGTACTCGCGCCTCCGGGTCGCTCCTCTTGTAGGGCCGAGCCTGGGCCTCCCTCCTTGCTGACACCGTGAGAGCTCTGACTCTGCAGGAAGCAGGATTGAGCCCGCAGGGATAAGCAGCCCCTCAGCTAATGTCCAGCCCCGGTGCCAGGTTAGGATCTGAGAGGTCTGTTAGTGGAAGGATGTGGAGCAAAGGAGGATGGAGGTGCCCGGCTGACTTCGGTCCACTTTGGATCAAGCTCTCGGATGAAGGCAGGGCTCAGCGTGAAATCCAGGCCGGGACGGGCGGGAGGCCAGACTTGGTTTCTGCAGAGCAGCAACCCAGCCCCACGAGCCAGGGGAAGCGCGGAGCAGGGCGGGATACCGTACTGCTTCCTCCGTCCACCCAGAGACTTCCAAGCTCTTTACAAACGCTGATTAGTTTCAGCTCGTAGCGCTTCAAGAGGCTAGGAAAAGTCTCCTCCATAGAAAGGATGAGAAAACAAGACCGGGCGGGATGCAGGAGAGAGACTGGTCCAGCTGGTCCTCCTCCTGTTCAGCAAAGAGCTGGCTTCTTTAAACACAGTCCCTTCCCAGCGAGGCTGACCGTGGCTTGGGAGCACTGTTTGGTTGTGAAATCCTGAGCAAAACGGACCCTGTGGGTGGGCTGTGCGCTGAACGCAACCTGCCTAAAGAGGGATCGACTCTCCCCTAGGATTGGCTTGGGTAGGAGCAATTTGGCTTGTTTTGGGGGGCGAGGTCTGGTCTACACGCGCTCGGGCAGACCGACGCAGGATTTTTCTGCTGGTGTAGCGAAGGCGCCGCAGCTTCGCGTGTGGATGTGCTCAGATGGTTTAAGCCCGGCTTAAATGGGTTCAGCTCCTCTACGGTGTGCGCCCACGCTGCTGCAACTGCAGGGAGACCTGCCCAAGCTGGTGCTGAGCCCAGCAGCTCGGGTCCTGCTAGCATCTGGGCTCGCTACAAGCCAGCTGCCTGGGGCTTTGCCCAGCTCCTGGGGCCGGCTTTGCAGCTCTGGCTGAGCTCTGTATTGCTAGGCAGTAAACAGGGAAATCTGCACCCGCTGCAGTCACGACGTGCCGCATCCGCTGGCTGACTAACCAGCAGGAAACTGAGCCGAGGTGTCCGTGCACCAGGCTGCCCCAGTCAGATTAGCAAAGGCTTCCGGTTGATTTAAATCAAGCCAGCGCAACCTCCACGCGCAGACAGGCCCTCAGTGCAACGGGCTGCTACCCCGGGGAAGCTCATCCTGCAGCAGGAAGCATTAGCTAGACCTGTGAATTTAGATAAGGCAGCACGAAGTATAAAGTCTTGCACTTTGGAGCCGGTAACAAGGGCATCGGCTGCAGGATGGGGTCACGTAGACTGGAGACAGCAGGGGAAGTGCACAGGTTGCACGCACTGATCTCAGGATGATGTGATGCAGCTGTGAAAAAGGGTAATGCAGTCCAAGGGTGTATGGCATGGGGTAAATGCGGGACAGCCAGGGAGGTTTGCATACAGCTGGTGAGACCCCAGCCAGCGCGCGGGTGCAGGCCTGGGCACAGGGCTCCAAGGAGCTGAACTCCAGTGGGAACAGGGTCAGAGAAAGACCACTGAGATCATTAGGGGAACAGAGACCTTTGCTTATGAAAGAAGGTTAAAGGAGCTTGGCTTGCTTAGCAGAGGGTGAGAGGGGTTGAATAGCAGGGAGGGAGAAGAGCCGCTGAGGCTGAAGGGCAGCACAGGCACACGATGGAGGTGCTGAGCAGGCCAGCTCTTGCACGAGGGAGTTTGGGACGCTCTTGCAAGCCAGAGCGCAGGAGCAAAGCAGATGGTTACACAAGAAACACCCACTGGGAAGGGCCAGCTCATCTCCCTGCTGTTTGCACACCTGCTCCTTCGTCACATGGGGCACGTGCCCATGAAGAGGAAGGCTGGGTGGTGCAGGGGAGGAAGGCAGCGGAGCTGATGTCTGCCTGTGCCTCCGGCATTGAATGGCTGATGTGCCCTTGGCTGCCTCGTTCCGCTTCTTTTCCGTTTCGCTGCTCCGTGCCTCAGTTTCCCCATCTCTAAAGCAAGGCTCACGCCACTGGGCCCCTTGGAGAAGGGTAGCTGGAAAGCGCTAGAGAGGAGTAAAGATTTCTTGACGTGCTGCAGTAAGAGGCAGGCTGGAGCCAGTTTCAAGTTCAGTTCCCAGCCCCTGAGGGCAATTCCCAGCACCTTGTTCACAGCCGTACCCAGCCTGGCCCAGAGTGACTGACTCAGTGACCTGCAGCGGTTTTTCTATGCTGGCATCCCTCCCTAAAATCCCTTTGGCCCCATGCTCTGCTTATTGTGAGCAATGTTTGTGAGCTGACTCACTGACGGGAGGGTAAATGTGTAGTTGAAGGGGTGGGGGAGTGACCTCCTGTCCGCTTCCTGCTGCTCCGTGGTGTCCTAAGAGACTCGGGACTGCCCTGCGGGGTGGCAGCCACCACACAGGGCCATGGCCCAGAGGCCATGACAGGTACCAGAGGCACAGCAGCGGTGCCTGCAGGGAGAGGGTCCGTGTGCCATACCTGAGCCTTGGGGAGGGATTTCCGCTGCATCTAAAACTTTGCAGGGCCAAGCCCAGCACAGCCCACTTACAGGTGGGGGTGGCAGGGGTCTGCGTGCTCGCCAGCGAAACGGAGCAGTGCGCAGCCCCAAAACAAAAGGGAGGGGAATAGCAGCGTGCAAACCCTGCTCCCCCGCGCCGTGCTCCCCCACGCCGTCGTGCCTCTGGTCCAGGCCCCTTTGCCTAACGCATTTCTCTCTGCTGCAGGATCCTGGATTTCCGGCGCGTGCCCCCCACCGTGGGCAGGCTGGTCAACGTCACCAAGGAGATCCTGGAGGTCACCAAGAACGAGATCCTGCAGAGCGTCTTCTTTGTCTCGCCAGGTAGGGGGGAGGCCAGCCCCGCCGACCGCCGTGCGTGCACGGAGCAAGGGGCTCGCGCTGCACGAGAGAGCTGAGCCATGCGCGTGGCAACACCTTGGCCCGGGGCGTGACGTGCAGGCTCCTGGCTCGCTCGCTGCAGGGGGGCAGTGAATGCCACAGGGGTACTGCCCTGGCAGTGCGCAGCCACCAGTAAAAGGGGACAGCCCTGCCCCTGGGTACGGGCGGCCCTCGGGACGAGCTGCGCCCAGGGGCTGGTGACGCCGGGCACTGGCCATGTGTCCACGCTGCTGCCCAGGGCAACTTTTGGGCCAAACGCTGCTGCCACCCACCAGCCAAGTACGGGACAAGCAGACGCCCTGGTTGTGCAACATCTGCCCCCAGTCGCAGCAGCAACCCTGGGCGTGTGGCTGCACCCGGAGGTGATGCTGGAGCTGTCTGTCACAGCTGCTCCTGCAAGCCCAAGGGCTGGGGGCAGGGGCTGAGTGTCACAGCATTACCAGGCCTGCAAGTCTGTCGCTGCAAAAGCACCGGCTGTGGGGCTGCAGGTGATGCTCCGCGAGCAGCCGCTGAGCTGAGCTGCTCCAGCTGCATTTCCCCCCACCACACCCCGTAATAAGCAGTCAGTTACAGTGGCTGCAGCTTGGTCCCTGGTCTCCCCACAGCCAGCAACGTGTGCTTCTTCGCCAAGTGCCCATACATGTGCAAGACGGAGTACGCGGTGTGCGGGAACCCGCACCTCTTGGAGGGCTCCCTGTCAGCCTTCCTGCCCTCCCTCAACCTGGCGCCCCGGCTCTCCATTCCCAACCCCTGGATCCGCTCCTACTCGTTCGCTGGGAAAGAGGAGTAAGTGAGTGGGTGAAGGCTGCCTCGGCAGCCAGGGGACCGGGGAATGGGACAGGACTGCGGGAGCAGCATCGGGCCTCACCTGTCCTCTGTCCCGGGCAGGTGGGAGGTGAACCCGCTGTACTGCAACACGGTGAAGGAGGTCTACCCCTACAGCAGCGGCAGCCGGTTGCTCAACATCATCGACATGGCTGTCTTCGACTTCCTCACAGGTACGCCGCACTGCCCGGCGGGACGCCTGCTGCGGCTGGGGCTCCACACCTTTCCACAGCACTGCCAGCAGCGGGCACCTGCCCTGGCAGCACAGAGGGAGCCAGTCTTGGGCCTTTAGTGGTGGAGCTGCCCTTTCTGCTCAGCCCAACCTCCTGTCTGCTTTGCACTCCCCAGCACCTGCTTGCTGCATGGCTTTGCAGCTCTCCTGCCGCGTGGCCTTGCTCAGGGATTGACAGGGCAGGACCAGCCGTGGCTAAGCGGCCCTCGCGCATCTGTCTGCCCCTTAAGCAGCACGTTTTGCTGCTGATTCTCTGAAGCAGGTCAAATCAGGTAGGCAAGAGGTAACATGGGGCCTTTCTATGCATCTCTGTGTCTTCCACCAGGTCAGTCCATCATCTGCTTGCCCTGCCCCCAGGACATGCCAGGGCCAGGAGTCAGGAGCTTAGGCCCTTAGTCCCAGACCACTGAGGCCATCCAGGAAACCCCAGGCCTCAGTTTCTCCTGCCCTGCGTACACTCGGGCACCGGTGTAATGGCCAGACAGTTCTGTGCTTCAGTCCAGTTGCACAGCACTTAGGGGGCTTGCAAGGAGGCAGGATTGAATTCTCCTCCACCTCTGCTCCGGTGAGCTCCCAGCAAACTGCTCAAGCCCTCAGCCCTGGGGGTCTTCCAGCCCTCCCATTCCAGCTGGCCCAGTGGGCAGTCAGGCATGAGGGAGAACAGAGGAGATGCACGGGGCCAGGAGGCAAAAAGCCCAGGCAAGGGGTGTGTGGCCCAGGGAAGGACCTACTACTTCAGCAAGGAAGACAACCTGGGATCTAGGCTGGCCTCTTGCTTCTCAGCAGCATCCGCACTTTGCTGTTGCTTGAGGGGCTGTGGAGCATCTGGTCTGTGAGCCAGGCATTAAAACACTTTGTAAAGCAGGGGTAGGTGCTAACAGGGCTCCTGCTGCATGGGTGAGAGCCCTCCCCTTAAGCTATTAGTGACCCCTGCGCTCCCCACTTCTCTTTGGTTTCCGGTGGCACACGGCAAACTGCTTCCCTGTCAGTGCCACATGTGAAAGTCTTGCTTCTGTCCCCTCTGCCAGGCAACATGGACCGGCATCACTACGAGATGTTCACCAAGTTCGGGGACGACGGCTTCCTGCTGCACCTGGATAACGCCCGTGGGTAAGGTTGGGAGCTGGCAGAGGTGTTGGGGCTGCAGGGGAGGGCTGGTTTACAGGTAGGTCGTCCCAAGCAGGGCAAGAGTTAGGGAGGGAGAGCTGGAGGTGAAGGGGGTGCCCAAGCTGCAGCAGGAGGCAGTTGTAGGTGGCGCTTTGACGAGTGACGCCAGCGCTGTGTTTGCACCTACCCATTTTCCTCTGGTGGCTGGGTGCAGGGGAGGGCAGCCCCTGCAGCAGTGTATGAGGCCTGGCACCTCAGCCTTACCCTAGCACATGCCCAGGGCTGGGCCTCGGTCACTTCACCTTCTCTTTGTACCGCAGCTTTGGAAGACATTCCCATGACGAGCTCTCCATCCTGGCTCCTCTGGCCCAGTGCTGCGTGTAAGTATCCCGGCGAGCTCAACAGACAGGCTGGCGCGGGCTCCCTGCATGTCCACGTCTGCTTGAGAGAGGCAAGACGTGTTGCCCTAATACGCCGTGGCGCTGCAGGACCCCGAGTTGCACTGCCCCAGGCTCGGGTGCTGCTACGTGCTCTGGGGTTACGCAGCAGGACGGCCTGCTCCCAGCACTGCCCCTTTCTTCAGGGCATCTGCACTCGCTTCAAAGTCTCTGCTGGACACCTAGGAGTGACGCAGGAACGTGGCCAACAGACCCACTTCAGCACGCTCTCTCCCAGCCTTGCTGTCTCCCTGAACATGTCTATTAGCTGGATTTTCAAGGTGCTCTTTGCACCTAAAGACACTTAATTTCCAGGCACAGGGTGTCTTTAAATCCTGCCCAGGGAGTGCTGCTCTGTGAGCCTTAAATTAAGCCCCTCTCAGCCGTTGGCTAAAGTGCAGTAGCCTGACAGGGCAGAGCCGACCCGGCTGCACTGAGCCAGCAGCCAGGAGCTGATTTGGTTCCTTTGCAAGAAGCAGCCAGGGCAAGACCCACTGCTTGTGGGGTAACAGGGCAAGAGCAGCCCAACGGGCACCTGTGCCTGTCCCCTGCTCCCTAACAGAGCCCCCCCCTCCAGTGCAAGTGCCTGTAGCCCCCCTGAGCTCCACGCCCATCTACACCAGCTGAGACTGCACCCAGTCTTCCTACAACAGGTACTTGCTGGCAGCTGCTAGAGCCTCTCCCAGGCCCAGTAAGGACCAGTTCCCTGCACTGGGAAACCCTGGTTTATTTCCAACCTGAACATTTCTAGCTGCAGCTGCCAGGCCCTGGCCTCTGTCATATCACGTGCTACTTGGGCCAAGGCATCTGCAGTCTGGACAGATTGTGCCGTGCAGAGAGGGGCTTTGTCCTTAATGAAGACACGCACACACGCTGAGTTGATAAAGCCCCCGCCGCTTCTTGGTTTTAATGCCCGCAAGCCATGCAAAGCAGTAGCGCTGCTGTACCTGGCAGGAAGCAATCTGCAGTGGCCCTGGTAGAGGGGGGGACAGGGAGCCTCCATTGCACGCTGTCCTGCTTCCCATCAGGGCCTTATATTTTTGTGGCATTCCTTTACCAGCTTGTGCTTTGCCTTGCGGGGTCAGGCTGACCCTTCGGGGCAGTCACGGCTAGAGCAAGACAGGCCCAGGAGAGCTGACGCAGAAGAGCTGGGCAGGCCACACGCCGTGTGGTGGGAGGGGGCATCCCTTGCTCTCATCCCCACACTCCCGACTGGGTGCCACAATGGCACTGGACCTCATAGCCACCGCCTCTGCCTGGCCTCAGCCCCTCCTGCTCCTTTGACAACACTCAGCCACCTTCCCTGGAGCTCTCTGCCGTTGTCCTGGCTCTGGACCACGGCAGGAATGTGTTGCCAAAGTATCGGCGCCTGACCTGGCCGCTTCTCTCTCCAGGATCAAAAGGACGACACTGCTACGGCTGCAGCTGCTGGCGCTGCCCGAGTACCAGCTCAGCGATGTCATGAGGGAGTCACTCCTGCAGGACCGCCTGGCGCCCGTGCTGGCCGAGCCCCACCTCCTGGCTTTGGACCGGCGGCTGCAGCTGATCCTGCAGGCAGTGCGGACGTGCATAGACGCGCACGGAGAAGGCAGCGTTGTAGTCAACGACACACAAACGTGGGAGAGGCCCACAGCTGAGAGCACAGCGCAGACCAGGTAGAGCTGAGACCGGCAGCAGGGGAGAGCCCCTGGGAGCTGGGTAGTGATAATTCTCCATAGACACAAGCCTGTTGGATTCAGAGGAGAGGCTGCAAGACGGACTCCCATGTTCACGCCAGACCTCGGGGGCAACACTGCCCAGCTGCAGCTTGGGTGCTTGGGGTAAAACTTTTGCTAAGTCCACGTGTAGGCAAGAGCCTGGCCTTGACCTGGATTCATTCCTCCACCTGCTGCCCTTCAGAGAGGCATCGGAGGCTCCATCTGCTCTGTAGCAGCTGGGCAGGCCTCTGCGGAAGAGCACGGGCATCGGCTTGCTGAACTGGCATGGGCCTAGTCTCATCACTGAAGGACAAAACCAGGTCCCAGAGAGGCTTGAATAAAAAGCCGCTGAAAGGGCAGCGTGTTTGGCAAGTCTGTTCCATCAGCACCTTCGTGCAGTTGCATCAAAAAGTCTTTAGCCCCGAGGGCCACGTCTGTCACTCTCTGACTCAGCTCATCCCGAGCCAAGACCTGCCTGTGCAGCGCGTGGGCAGCCCGGCTCCTCCATCGCCCCCTGCGGCACCCGTGGGTGGGAAGGGAATTGTGGTCAGGGCGATAAAGGAGGCAGGTGAGCACGGACAGTCAGGGCCCGAGGGAAGCCCTGTGGGCAACCAAGAACCTAGCTGGCAGCCCTGGGAGCCACAGCTTGAAATACCAACACATGTGCCAGTGATTTTAAGCCACCCATGAGAAGATGCAGGAAAGCAGCAACATGTATTGTTCCTGTTCCCTGCCCCCCAGGCCCATTTCAAAAAAGGGTCTTAGGAATTGGAGAGCAAAGCACGTAGGAAGCCAGTTAGGCACAGCCTGGCAATTGATTTGCTGGGCAAGCGTCCCCTCGCCTCCCAGGCATTAGCACATTTTCATCACCGAGTCTCTTAATCAGCTTCTCCCCAGCAGCTTCCCATTGCTCTAAGCATGAAGCCAACCCTGCTCTTTGGCAGCCAAAGGAAAGCACAGGGGAACTTGGTGCCGGGTCTGACATTGCTTTCATCGTTTCACTGCTGAAACAGAGGGCAGCGAGGATCAGGCGTTAGTTGCTTTGCCCTGTGGCACCATTAGGAAATGCTCATTTTGCTACAAGCTCATTCTAACCCCATTTCCAACTTCAAAAAAAAAAAAAAAACCAGCTCGAGTGCGCTTGTTCAGTCTTCCAACACCTTTCTGCAACGTGTCTGATCCTGAGAGCAGCAAGCCCTTGCAAACAGATATGCATTTCAGTTGGAGTTTATTCTAGCTCTCTTGCTAGCTGGAGTGCAGGTGTGCACACTGATGCAGTCTCAGTGAGGAGGGGAGAAGAACAAGGCACTGATCCCTGGGGAGCTGCGATGGCTGAGGAAGTTTGAGCAGCTTTGATTTTTAAAGGTGCTGTGTTTCGTGCTGACTAGCAGACACCAAAGGAAAGTGCCTACCTGGCTGGACTCTGGCTTCCACCATGTCTCACCGCTCTGAACTTGAGAGCAGGTTTTTTAAGTGTAACTGGCTCAGGTCCCCCTTTCAGGTAGCGTTGAGAAAAAACCAGCTTTCCACCGCTTGTGCCAACTGTGGTGTAGCACAGAGTGGGAATAAATAAAAGGACATGATGGACCTTCAGCTCCCAGTGTGTGGCAGTTCTTTCAGTACGTGCGCTCTTCTTGCAGGGCTGGAGCTCCCCCTCCTGGCAGCCTCTCTGCACCGCAAAGGTAAGAAAACCCAGACAGGCAGCAAAAAGGCTGTTGCACCAGCACCAGAACCAGTCCATGTGCTGGGAGAGATCCCAACCAGCAGCAGCGCATCCACGCCGGGCCGAGGGCAGGCAGACTGGCATTAATGGGCAGCAATGACAAGGCCTTGGGGGTGGTGGGAACAGGCCAAAACGCCCGTACGCAACCCTCCTTGCTAGCAGCCGCATTGCTTCCAGGTGGCCGCCCAGAGCACAGCCCGTGTGAGGGCACTGCCAGCAGGAAGGAGGCAAGAGGCCTCTCCCACGCCGTATGATCTGCCCCAAACACATGCAGAAAGGGAATCACCAGGGACACAGGTCTTCCACACCCGTGTGCACCCTCGTGCCTGTGGGGAGAGATCGGTCAGAGGGGAATTCTCATTTGTGGCTTAACGATGATTTGAACTCAAGTTTCAAGAGGGACCAAAAAAGTGCTAATCCCATAAGATAGCTCTACAACCCACCTTCAAAAGGCCAAGGCAAGACAGAGCACAAGGGGGGGGAAAAAAAAGAGAGACAGATTGCATTTAAGAATTTAAATCATTTTTATTGCTTTACCTGCCATTAGAACAATCTATAACAAAAGGAATAATATATTAGCACATACAGTAAGTCAGACTTATATTGTCAGGTAACAATACAAAAATGGTCCTCTGGTTGACTATAGCTTTCTAGGGCGGTAGACTTCATAAATTCGCTAAAGGTGGCCTAGCAAAAGGTTACTTCTAAAGCCCTGAATGTTAGCTAAGGCAAACTATGCCAATTGTGATTTCAAACATATCTGAATTGCACACAAAGGTAAAGCTATAACTGTGATTAATATTTAACTTGGACGTAGCTGGTTTATCTTAAAATCTTGTAGGTAAAACTACAAAAGGGAGTAAACAGCAAGCTAAAAAGATGCGGTCGTGAAACTTGATTAGAAAGCCTTCTAGAAAAACGGGCATTTTTGTGGCGCTCTAACTAGTTTACGTTGGGTTTTTTTGGTGCTTCAACAAGGATCAAATCAAGCTTCAGAGTAACTAAAAATACAAAGTAAAATAACCTGGATAGATTCAAAACTGAATAAAACAGTTTTACAAAAAGGTAGCGTTTGCTTCCTCCCAAGGAGCACAGGTAGGAAATCCTCCACTTAGCAGCTGCTGGCCAGAGATGGTTCGCACAGTGCAAGCACTGTACAGCTAATCCTGCTGCGGGGACTTTGGGAACAATATACACACCTCCTAGAGCCTCGTGCAAAGATCTGATGCCCTCAGCTGTAGCCTGTGTCCGTCACGCAGACACTTCAAATGGTCTATGAGCCTGGAAAGGAGTCTACCACGGCCGGTTCCTTCAGAAGGGGGAGGGGGGGAATAATACTAATAAAAGGAGGCATCACTCATTAGAAACAGCTGCGTAACAAATGCAAAAACGCTTGCTGTCACTCCCCGATACAACTCTACTCTAGTTTTATATAAATTACAGTTTAAAGGAAACCTTAAGTCGCCTACATTATTGAACTGTGGAATTCAGTAGAAATGGTTGTGTAGTACTGGTGCACACCGAAGAATGCAACACAAAGCTGGTAAATACTGAAATACATTTAAGACTCCGCAACAGGTTGGACTGTCCAAAGGGGAGGGGGGGTGGAAAGGAGGGAGAGAGAATAAGAAATATGTTGCAAGTCTGCTAGGCTGGGCAGGAGGAGAGAGGATGCAGCATGTGTGCTCAGAGTACACTTAAAATGAACAGTTAAAAAGTTTTAACTTCTAGTTGATTTAAAAATCTACCTACTTAAAAGAACGGTAGCAGGAAATCAGGACATTCACTTGTTCTGCCTGAACCAGGGCATCCCCGCTCAGCTGTGGGCCAGCTGCTCTCGGCCACATACAAGCAAATCTCGTCTCCCTGCTACCAAGGAATTAACTGAGCAGAGACTCTTTTAAAAGGACAGAATCAACTGTGGAGCATCTAGCAAGCAAGCATCAGAGAGCAAAACTAGGTGTATGCTGCCAATTCCCGCACCGCGCCCAGTGCGCGAGCTCCGCAAATTTGGCGTTCCTGTGGCTCTAGTCAAGGAACTAGAGACAGAAGTTCAGCATTGGCATTTAACCCAATGTCTGGCTCCTGAGGTTACAAGCAGGAACAACTGAGAAAAGCAAATCCGCAGCTGAAAACAGGAAAGGCAAAAGATCGGCTGCGGCGTGAACTAGGGAATTCAGTAACATCTGCGAGAGTTGACCAAAACTAGAAACCTCAAAAGCTTTTTACGTGAAACTTGACAATACAGAACCAAGCAACCGTCAACTGGCAGACACGGGTACGACACTGCTAAGCTCCAACTGTGGCTTTTCCCAGCAGCCGATGCCAGGATTACAGTACCCAGGAAAATTTAAAAAATGAAACTCAACTGTGTGAGGGGCAAAGTTCTCTTTTGAACAGAAATCCAGCAGGGCATGACCACAGCCTCACAGATCCTGACAGCTTGAGAAGGATCTTAACAAAAAATCATTTCCACTGTTACCTCCTTACTCTATGGCAACTAGCTGGGACAGGAGACCTCTCCACTGCAAAGCAAGGCAGCAGCTGCCCAAGGTGGACACTACACATTGCACAGAGAGAAGCAGTAACAGCAAAATCTCCATAGAACTCGTTCTATTTATTTGCCGGGAGGGAGAGCACAGAACTAATGCTCCAAATTAAAAATGGGGCCAAGAAAAGCTTGGGGTCGGGTATTTTTTTGTTTAAACAGACAGGAAGCTGCAAATGCCAGTGGCCACGTGGCTCTGCACAGGGGTAGTCAAGCAGTCTGCATTTGTGAAGCATGTGTTGGAGGGAGGGAGGGCTCAGACAGACAGCGATACAAAACTGTTGTACTGCTGGATGTTGCGCTTGAGAATATCCGAGCACGGACCCAGGACGCGTTCAAATCGGGGGCGGTCGAGCTTCACGCACTTCAATGGGCCACGGGCAACGACTGTGGCAGCACGAGGGCGGTTCATCAAGAGAGCTATTTCACCTGGATTGACAGAAAAGGGAGCACGGGTGAGAGTCAGCTCCACGCGTCAAGGGAGTCAGGACCACGGCACGCAGTCGCGGGGCAAGCACGGGTTCCTAGCACTGGCCAGAAACAGAAACTCGGAACAGGTTTTTTCTTAGTAAAAGTGGGAACAAGCTGCATTGGGGGAACTCGAGGGAAAAACAGAACTGCGGAAAGGAACCAGGCGTGTTATTCAGCCAAGACTTGCGCTCAAGCCTATGCAGGGAGACTGCACTCAGCCCAGCGTGCTGCATCAGTCCAGCAGTGGTTCTCAGCCTCTTTGAACTAGGCCCCTCCATCACTTCTGTCGATTGAGCGGCACCCACTTCAAACATGAACGTATATATTGCAGTGCTTACCCACCCCTCCACCACCCAAACCCTTGGTACAGAAATGAAGGACCGGCCGGGCAGGTGTCAGCTCTCTGGCTGAGAATCCCTGCAGCAGATGCGTCAGCTTGCTGAAGCGGACCTGGCTGAATACACTGCTTTCCTAGTGAACAAAAACCTAACCGGTGCTTAAAACAGAGCAGGCACACATTATGTATAGGCAGAGGAAAAGGCCATTTCAGCTACAGGAAGAGAAAGTCTGGAGGACTCAGCATCACAGGCCAAGGAAGAGGAGCCCTTGGTTACAACCAAACCCCACAACCTATAGGTCCTCACATAAGACCTTGCTGGACATAAGGTCCTTGTTGGACCTGGTGCTGGCCATGGGCAACAACCTGGTGAGGGGGCTGCCGGTGCTCGACCACCTGAGCTAAGGAGAATAGTCGGGGAAGCACTGAGGTCCCGGAGGGGAGGGGAGCCAGGTGTCCAAGAAGAGTGGTTGCTCCTTAAGGAGACGATCCTCCAAGCCCAAAGGGAGGTAATCCCAGCACAGATCAAAGGGGGCAGGGAGGGCACAAAAGCCCCCATGGCTCACCAAAAGCATCCAGGAATGTCTCCTAGCTAAAAGGGAGGCGCACACCCAACAGAGGGGAGGGGCCATCCCCAGGGAGGACTATAGTGCGGTTGCTCGGGAATGCAGGGGGGCAGTCAGGAAGGCCAAGGCAGAGATGGGACTGGGACTAGTGACCCGGATCAAGGACAACAAGAAGTCCGTTTTTAAATACATCAGGGGCAAAAGGAAGGTACCGGGTAACGTGGGGCCCCTGCAGGACACGCTAGGAAATTTGGTCGTCACACCAGACAACAAAGCCAACCTATTTAACGACTTCTTTGCCTCCATTTTCCTGAGCAGGGACTGGGTCACCTGCCCCACCGGAACCTCCTCAGGCCCCAGGGGAGGTGCACCCAGGCCAAGGGTCGGGGAGGATCTAGTCAGGGAACTTCTGGAGGGACTGGATGTATTTAAATCAGCTGGTCCGGATGATCTCCACCCCTGAGTGCTGAGGGAATTAGCTGCGGTCATTG